TGGTATGACTGGTTGGAATGAGGAAGGGAGGTGAATTAGGACCAAAAGGTGAATTAGGACCAAGCAAACGAGGTCCCTGCTCATCTGTTTGAAGAGAGGGAGGGAGTCTGAGAGCATTTAAGAGGGAGGCAGCAGGGAGACCCTTGGAAGAATGGGTTAAAGTTGGTGCAAAGAGAGGAGGAGGAGGAGCAGGTTGGGACTGCATTACAGCAATAGTGAGACAAGCACTGCAGTAGGAGGGAGCAGCTTTAACCCAGCAGTGAACCCCAAAGCCAGCCCACCCCCCACCGGGAGGCAGCACCCAAGACCCAGCAGGAGCAAAGGCAAGACAGCATCCCTCTCCTCCTAAGCACTGATTGGCTGCCCACAGCAGCCTAGCTGGCCAACAGGAAGAGTTCTTCAGGAGAATGAGCTTCCCATGGCCTCTTCCAGACCCTTGGCTGGGGCTGACCTGTGAAGCCTGCTATGCGCAGACCCCAGGGATTGGGTCAGTCAGGGTTTTGCATTTGGGGGCTCATGCCTCATTGCTGCCTCAAAGTCAAGCTCTTGTCTTTCAGCCTCACGTTTTGCTTCCATGGAATGGATGGTTTATGACTAGGACACCCACAATGGCAACCTTCTAATTAATAGACATGTGTTCCTTAAAAGCCAGGTTGCAACCAGAGCCAAACTCCAGATGTGGGCCCATGAGGATCAGGAAGTACCATCTGAGGAATCAGGATGCTCAGTTAGGCATCCTTATCATCCAGTCCGGGATTAGGACCATCCACATTTCACTACTCCTCAGACTGCTTTACCAAGGCCCTACATACAAACACAGAAAAAGATGTGACTGAATGTCAAACCTACATTGTTTTGGTGTTTTTGAGTCAGTGTTGATGCCTGGCAACTGCCTGGACAACTCCCTGCAGTTTTCTTCGCACGATTTCAGAAGTGGCTTGCCATTGCCTCCTTCTTAGGGCTCAGAGAGAGTGACTGGCCCAAAGTCACCCAGATGGCTTCATGCCTTCACTTAAGGCAGGACTAGAACTCACAGTCTCCAGGTTTCTAGCCTGATGCTTTAACCATTACGCCAAACTGGCCTACATTAGCCTTCACCAATCTGGCGGCCTTCAAATGCTATGGTCCTTAAGCCACAACTACCTTGACCTTTGGACATAATAGAATATGAAGACTTGTAGTCCAACATATGTAGAAGAGACTAAATTGGGAAGGGTGGTTATGTTATGTCAGGGTTGTAGAGTTCTTCCATCCTGGGAAGTACTTCCTTTTCTTCTACTAACAAAAAGAAATGTAAGTGGAAAGTGAGGTTGTGGAAGAGGCCCTGAGCAGCCCCTGCAGCCCACATTGGGGTTTCTAAGGAATTGGAGGCCCAGTGGTACCTCACTGAAAACTAAGAGCTGCAAGGCCATGGATTAAGAACAGCCCAGGCCGATGGCAGTGAACTCATATGGTGACTTTGGTACTAGTAGGGCTACCATCTTTGGCTGCAAAAATTCAGGCAACCATTAGCAAGCAATTTTGGAAAGTAATCCTTTGCTATCTAGTGGTTATGTGGAGTTTTGCACCCAGATATGGTAGCCATAATGGGGGAAAACCTAGATGGTTATTTTCTGCTGAGTCTGTTGCTAATTTTACAGAGTTGTATTTTTTTTGTTTGTTTGATGGGATTGTTTTGATTTTTATTGTTTAAATTGTGCTGAGTAATGTAAAAGCATTAGAGGGTGATTGGTGGCATATCCATTTTCTAAAGCAATTACTGGCAATAGCATGGCCTAACTTGATAAAAGAATGATTCACTGTTGAAGCAGTGTTGATCCCTATCAACCAGGCTTTGAGTTGGGCAGGAGAAATTATGTCCCTTTTCCCAAGTAACAACCTGTGACCCATCACCTTTAAGCACAGCCTATCGACAAGGGACTGGGGCCTTCCACTGAGCTATCAGATCTGGGCTGAAAAAGTCTGGATGGTTACTAACGGCAGCAAAGAGATACCAACAACTTTATGTCTCTGTTGCCATCTAGTCGTGTTCTGGATTTTGGCCACCCAGATCTGGTGGCCTGTTGCCTCTGCTCCTCATTTTTCCAGTCCTTTCTGCTTCTTCAACATGGCAACCTACAAACCCTGAGCAGATAGTATTTTAGAAGGAAGTACCAGAAGCCCTCCAACCTTCCCTCTGCATTCTCTTCTTGTACAGGCATCTCTGGATTCATTCTCCCCAGATCTGTTCCTGTTCCTCATAGCCAACAAGCCAGCACACGTTAAATTCTAAATGTTTGTAATTGATGTACCTTGCCTGTAAAAGAACCTGGGGAAGTAATTAGCAGGGGTTATCCATGTTGCTATAGAAACATAATGATGGAAATGAAGCAGAGGATAGAGTCTTTCCAGGCACACAAACAGGGAAGATTGGCCTGCAGGACTCACACCCATTGCAAGCGCTTCGGGTTCGGCTGCAGGGATTTCAGGAATACTCTGTCTTGATGTAGGGGAGGATGACAGAATCTTGAAAGCCTGTCAGAGTTTCTCTCTCCCCATCTTACACCAAGCAACCAAAATTAAGGCAGAGTTTTTTCTTTCTCAGGGCTGAATAATCTTTTCCCCTCCCATAACTATGTCTTGTTCCCTTCCCCCTGCTCAAGGCCAGGTCCACAATCTTTCACACAGCCTTCACTCTTGCTTTTGGTTCATCTGGCTCCAGGCAGATATTTTCCAAAACCCTCCAGTGTCTCCACCCTGCTTTCCTAGCCTCTAGACTCCCTTAGTAAGATACGCTGCCAAGGACTGAATTGGGGCACTCCCAAAAGCAAAGATGAATGGTGGGAAATTTAAGACAGAAAAATGACAAATTCAAGGAACAGATCATGGGAAATAAATTCATGGTGGTTGCATATTATTTTCAGGTTCATGCTTCTTCATGCCAGTTGCTGGAGAACTGCAGTTATTATGACAAGTAGGATGGCCTCCCAGGGACATCTGGTTGGAAACGCTGTGAGAAACAAGTCCTGGTCATTGGTCTTCAGATGCTCTGACAGAAGTGATTGTATTTAGTCCTATCTCCCAGATTGGGCAGAAACAGAATGGAAATAGGCCCAATTGCTCTGCTTCTGGTTGTAAATGACAGAAATAAGGAGGAATGGAAGTTAATTCCCTCTCCCTTCCAGGAGCTGGGGTTCTTGAGAAATATGAGGTCAAGGTCTAATGACATTGGGGAATGCAAAACAGCCCCATTCACCCACAATGTTAATGGAGCCTCATGTCAATGAAACAGCACAAGTAGTTTCAGTGCCACATAATTCTACACGAATAAATAACCAAGTGGATTAAGTACATCAGTGGACTGCAAAATGAGAAGCCTCAACAATTCAGCAAGATTGACATTTTCTCCATATTTTTTTTCTGATTTCTGAAATATTTTCTGACTTCTGTTGAATTGCATCAAGTTCATGGGTTCTCCTGTTGGAGTTTGGGAGGCATTCTTTCCTGTCTTGGTGTCCTGAATGGTCTAGCCAGCTCATAGCAAGATTGTGATGGGAATGGCCTTTTAAGGATTGAGATGGTTAAGATGCAAATGAAACGATATATGCTAAACCAAACATTTGATATGTTATTAATCCTTCATTTCTTGCAATATTGTCCTTTTGTGACAGCATGTCAGTCAACTCTGTCTCAGAGTAATTTAGCATATAAACTTGCAATTTCTGTGTGAGAAGCAGCAGCCTTATCATTGTAATTCAGAATCAGTGCTGCCTTTCCCCATTACCTTCAGCTAACATTAATTTTCAGTGCAAGTGCTCTTTTCCATTTTTCTTTTGCCGTGTTTGGCTCTAGAATAAATCAGTCCCTGGAGGACATTTCTGTTTTGCTCACTGCAGCCCATGAGTGTGACTTGAAGCGACCCTGAAGGAGAGTTGGGAAGAAAAATCTCTGAGTGCTGACAGCTGTGTCGCTCCTGAGCTGGAAGAGCTTCCCATGTTGCTCAGGGCGCGGTGTGGCCATGTTCCCAGGAAGTGGCAGTGCACAATTCTGTTCAGCCTGTGACAGTCATCCTTTGGGGACCCAGAAGCAATATCTTGCCCAAGGCACTACACGACACCATGAGGGCAATGCCATCACTGCCAACTGGTCAATGACCCACCATCTTTTCTTCAGACTCAAATGCCAGCTCAAGTTCAAATTCAGTTTTCAATGGTTTCCGTATGCAGTTAAGAGAACAATTTAAAGTAGACAATGGGACATTTGGAATTGAGCAGCAGAAGACAACATTTGAAGTTGAATTATGTACAACATGTGATTGCTAAAATGTATAAAGAACTTTGTTTATAACATACTGCTGGAACAGTGGGAAAACATGTGGTTGAAAGATTGAAATTCACATTATGCGAATTTAAATTTAAAAGAGAATTTTTATAAAATGATGTACCATTGGTATATGACTCCAGAAAAATTATCTAGAATGTATAAAGGTACTTCAAATTTATGTTGGAAATGTAGATAACATGAAGAGTCATTTTATCATGCCTGGTGAACTTGTAAAAAAGCCAGACAATTTTGGGTTCAAATACATACAACAATACAAAGAATTGTAAAGACTAAGGAACAGTGGGAAAACATGTGGTTGAAAGATTGAAATTCACATTATGCGAATTTAAATTTAAAAGAGAATTTTTATAAAATGATGTACCATTGGTATATGACTCCAGAAAAATTATCTAGAATGTATAAAGGTACTTCAAATTTATGTTGGAAATGTAGATAACATGAAGAGTCATTTTATCATGCCTGGTGAACTTGTAAAAAAGCCAGACAATTTTGGGTTCAAATACATACAACAATACAAAGAATTGTAAAGACTAATATTCAACTGATATCAGATTTTTTGTTTTGCTGGGACTAATGGACAGACAATTAGAAAAGAGCCATGGAAGATTATTTTTATAAATGATCACTGCTGTGAGACAACAATATGCGCAAAAATGAAAAGACTCTGAAATACTCACAGTGGAAGAATGGTTGGTGAAGATGACGGAACTAGCAGAGATGGCAAAATTAACTTGTTTTGAGAAAGATCAACAACTGCATTTATTAGTGACTGGAACCCCCTTATGGACTTTTTGCTGAAAAAATAAAAAAAAATGAACTGGTGATTTATGGATTTGATTAGAAAGGGTAGATTATGGAAAGAAGAAAATTATGATGTAAACTTAGAGAGGGTAAAATATAAATGTACTTATAACAGCTGTTAAGAAGATTGGGAGCCACTTTATTGCTTTTTTCTTTCTTTTCTATTTCTTTTGCCTTATTTCTTTCTCATTTTCTTATTAATTTTCCCTATTCTTTTTTTCTTCAGTTCAAAATTTGTATTGTTTTTATTCTGTTGAAAACTTGAGAACAGTTCTATGAACATCTCCAATAGTTCCTTCCAAATCCTTGGAATCCTATGTGACCCACATAGCTATTTTTAATTTCTTTGCAGAAGCAGCTGTCATAAAAACTATTGCATTCTTTTGCTGAGTCTACCTTTTTACAAAAATTGAGAACTTCATGTAATTTACCAGGAGCAGGTCCCGTGTGTTAGAATAGGAGCATGGAAAGCTGCCTTCTGCCTGGCTTGGTACCCACCCATCCCCATCACGCTGCTATTCATG